CAGGTGTTAATCAAACTATTTGAAGAGTGTTTATGTTAATTAAACACTATGTTTAAAATGTTGTTAAATATATACATACCAGTGTTTAAAAAGTGTTACAGAGCTGTAAACAGTTAAAACTGTTTAATATGTACATGCTTTGAAGTGTTTATTAAATAAACATTGTGTTCATTAAAGTGTTTATTTGGCCTAAATGTTGTGTTTATTTTCTCTAATCATCGTGTAAAATTGCCTCATGCTCATGTGTTTAAAAATTAAACATTTTGTTTAACACTAGACACATTGAAGTGTTTATAAAGTGTTACAAATTAAACACTTTAACATATTTATTAAAGTGTTCAAATCCTAAAGACTTTTATTTGCAGTGTATGAGCGAGAATATGAGATCATTGATTGAATTGAAGGGTTGTTGATCACGAGTTTGTTGCGCCATAATTCATATAAGGTTTGAACGTTTACTGTGAACTCATGTACTGTGTTTCTAATATTAGCATTTACGGATGACGATTTAGTCATGTACTGTTACTTCTGTCTCGCGATCTGAGGCCTTAGCGGATATGAAGTCATTGGATGTGGCTAAAAGACGTAGAACATCATTAAGACACATTAGAAAGGGCTGGGTTGACAAAAGGCAACATGAGGAAGGAGAACAGTATAACCCTGGTGCCTTTTAAGGCTAATTTCCACCATAACTGGCCCAAATTCACATTATAAACATTAAAAAATCTTATAAAAATGTTTAATCGATGATTTCTCCGATTGACACCTATGTAATTTTAAAACATCATATCTCAACTTCTACTGGAGTAAAGTTTATGAAACTTGGCAAAATTGTACTTCTGTTAATGCTCTAGTGCCTAAAATTTGAATTAAAAAAATTGAATGTTGCAATCAAATGTTATTAGGCCATGAATACTGTATTTATTTAGCAGTCGAAAAATTTGAAAAAAAAAAACAAAACATTTTACCACAAAAATTGTTTAAGTGGAACACTCCAATCCTTTTTTAGTTCCTATGCATGTAATGCAATAGGAACTATTGTAATCACTCTCACATTTCTTTTGTTTTTTATTGTGTGTAGTATGTGTGTGCGTATGTGTGTAGACATTTATAACAGCACCAAGCTCTGTATGAATACCTGTCTCTTATACACATCTAGATGTGTATAAGAGACAGGTTTTAATACTTGCTGAAATACATCGTTTTTTCATTTAGATCTCCATTTTTCACTAACTCCATGCGACGTTTTTTTCTGTTGCATGAGTAGTCCATAGAGCTATTAAACAACTAGAGTGTTGACAAAATGGCGCAGCAATGCAGAATTATGTATGTGTACCATCCAAGATGGCCGTCGTAGTAAAGTGCCACCTTCAGGCTTGGTATACATATTATTACATATTAATAAGCCCTGACTGACTATTATTTCATTAATGATAATGAGTAATGGTAATAACAAATTAATAAACAATTGTAGCCAAAACAAGGCCACATGAGCATTTTATTCAAAAATAAGTACCAAGGAATGAAAATTAAAATAGCGTACCTTACACCCAAACACCGCAACGCTCGAGTTTCAAACATACGGGTAGCTAGCTGTACTGAATCCTCTGAGTAAATTGAGGGCGCAATTGTAAACGATGGTGCTTAGCGAAATTTGATTGGCTAAATCTATGGCAGCCATCTTGGATGGTACCCACACAGTTCTGCGTATTTCGAACATCGAATACATTGCGGTTAGCGCTCTAGTATTCTTATTATCTTTATGGAGTAGTCATATGAAGGTACCATATCCCCGACAGTTGGCTATGCAGCAATGTACCCTTTGAATACAAATTGAAGACAAGTGAAGATATAAAGGCAGCTAACTTTCCACAAAAGCATTAGACCTAAGCTAGGCCTAGTTCAGTACAGTAATTACAGCGATTGTAGGGTGGTAGATCGTTCAGTCAGTGATATCGTGTTGTCGTCTAATACATTTTAATAATGTGTGTACAATTCAAGAACGCACCGCGTGGGTCGCTTTCTTTGTTATGCGGTAGTAGGCCTAGTATATGTAGCAGAGCAATCTAAGCCTAGCCTAAGGCCTAGATGGTATACGTTCTTGATCATCGTAATGAAAACTTTGGGTGACAGACGATTGGGCCCAACTGGTGTGGACGATCGGACCCAAGATAGCTTCGAATAAATTGTAGTCCTAGTAGGCCACTGCACCACCCCAACTCCTGATATCGTTCCAAACTACTGTAAAATGAAATTACTGTATACCTAGCTAGGCCTAGGTCCTATGCCTACGAAATTTTTTCAAAGAAATTTGCTAAAAATATTACTGTAATTTTCCTGTCGAATTACATTACTAAAATCATTATTTTGGGCCATTGTTTCGTCTAGAAACTATTGTTTGAGAGTGCATTTTATTTTTTATATTTCTATTTAAGGGCGCTAGATTTGCGTGGGTAATTCAGATCTTGCTGCTGAATTCAATGCAACGCATCATAATGTTTCTCTAGTATTCACTGGGTTTTACCGTTTAAAACCATACCTGATGTTAATGAATATCGTTAAAATGTTATGTAAGTATTTAAGAATTGTTGTTTGATTGCAACATAACTGTTTGTATCTTCAAAGTATTAATTTAGCACATAGCCTATGTAACACTCTGCTTAGGCCTAGACTGTCTCACGTGTATGCGGATAGCGGCGTGCTGTTTGAGCAGTAGCCTAGCTCTGCCTATTCTTGTCGCTGTAGTTTATGCGTTGATTAATTCAGTTTAAAATAAGTTACTGATTGAATATTTTTATACATTATAAGATTTGTGTGCTAATGCATTCTATATAATTCATGATGAATTTTAATGGGTTTTTGTAGGAACTAGTTTATTTAAATATACTATATTATTTTCCTTTGTTCAGAAGGAAAGCATGGTTTGTGTGGCGCATTGATTTCCATTTCTAATTATGTAATGAGGCTTCTTTATCCATCATGCTTGGTACAGGCTTTTTATATGCTCTATTGTTTATACTGTACTTATCTTAATTCCATTCAGACTGTTTACCACTGAGAACATTAAACTGATGTACTGTTCTGATTTAATGTACTGTATATAGTTGGAGAGATAAGTCGTAAGTTTATGTCATCATTAATACTGTAATATGTTGGGACACTGCAACACATGTCTACTCATGAGAATTCTCTTATAAGTATGGTGCAAGCTACGGCTTTGCCTAAAGCACATGTTAGAAAATTTGAGGGTGATCCTCTATTTTATTATACATTTATGGCTTCATTCAATAACAGTGTATCTTGCATTACTGATCCTAGTATAAAGCTTAACGTTCTTCGTTCATTGTGCTGTGGCCGAGCTCTTGATGCTACAGAATTTTGTGTGTTGAAACCACCAGCTGAGGGCCTTGAAGCAGCGCTGACAACACTCAAGTAACGGTTTGGTAACAGTGCTATGATTGTGCAAGCATGGATACAGAAGATTGTAACCCGACCAAAGGTGGAGCCAGCAAAGCTCGAAAGTTACGCAGATGATTTAACTAACTGCTTCCAAGCACTAGATGCTCTAGGATACTTGCAAGAACTGAACAATCAAGGGAGTCTGAAGACTATAATAGATAAACTACTAAGGTTTTTACAACAGAGATGGATGCGTGAGGTCTTCAAACTAAGAGAGAATGATAAAGTGCCGAGTCTGAAGGATGTTGTGAGGTTTGTAAGGACTTCCACTTGTGAGGTAAATGATCCTGTATTCGGAACTGTCGCTGAACCTCACAAACCATCGAAGCCCAGTGAAAGGACTACAGGACGTGTGTTTCAGACAGATGCGAAGATGGTACCCTCAGAAATCAAGATGTTTTCAAAGTGGAAAAAGTGCTGGGGATGTGAAACTGATGAGCACAGGCCTGACCAATGCCCTACACTTTTGCAAGTAACTCCAGAAGAACGTATGAAAAAAGCCAAGGAGAATCATGTACGCTTCTCTTGTTTCAAGAAGGCAGGAAAACAGCAATCGATCACAAACTGCCGAAGAAGGAAGAAATGTACGCAATGTGATAAATTCCACCATCCACTGCTGCATATAACAGCTCAACCTACAACACAACTAATGACCCTAGATCAGAATTCAACTGATGATGTACAAGTTGTCATGCCGATGCTCACAGCAAAGGTGTTAGGTAGAGACTCTAACATCTTGTTTGACACCTGCGCTACATCGACTTTGACTAGAGATGATCTGGCTAAAGAATGCAAATTCCCAAGCAAACCAGTAACGGTTGAAATAACAACTCTTGGTTCTGAGAAGTCATTACTTCATACTAGAGCATACAACGCAACACTGACATCTAGGGAAGGACATTCCCACTCCTTAACTGCAATTGGGGTACCTACAGTAGCATCACCGATGTACCAACAATTAGTAACAGACTATGATCAGAAGTCGAAGATGTGATATTCATAAACTGTTTACTATTACATGAACTGGTAACCATAATAACCATACCCTGGATAGCAGCGCGCGCGTAGTATCAAGGTGCGTCGTGCCACACTACATTTGTATTACCGCTTGAGGCGGGATTTACTCTGTGTTATGTATTGAAATAAAGTAGACGTGTTGAAGTTTACTCCCAGAGTCATTCTACTTTTTAATAGTCATCGAAGCTATTACAGAAGAGAAGCTGGGTGAACCTATCTATAGGAGAAGTGGGACGGTTGGTATCTTAATAGGTATTAACTATGCCAAGATGCACACAGGAAAATGCGTTGACATTGATGGTGATTACGTAACAAGAAAGTCTCCATTAGGATGGGTTTTGTTTGGTACCAACACCAAAGGGTCTACAAGACAACATCAAAATCCTGTGATGCTTATCAAGTTAGCTAAGCCTGTAGACATATCTCAATTCTAGTCCACTGAAGAGATAGGGGTGGAATGTAAGTGTGATTGCGCAAAAAAGGATCCAACACTAAGCCCAGATCATAACAGGGATTTCACTAAGATGTGGAACTCTTGCATGAAAGATACAGATGGACATTGGGTGGTATCATATCCCTGGATAAAGACTCCAGAAGAACTTCCAAACAACGAAAAGCAATGCTTCGCAAAACTTTGTTCCCTAGAAAAAAGGCTCAAGAAAACAAACTCTGCAGAGCAGTATAGCAGGGCGATTGACGATATGGTGGAGAAAGGTTTTGCAAAGAAACTAACTGAAGAAGAGAAAGGAACCTACCATGGACCAGTCCATTACATTCCTCACCACGCTGTCATGAGACCAGAAAGTGCCAGTACACCAATCCGAATAGTCTTTAATTCGTCGAGTGTGTGTGAAGGGTCATCGCTAAATGACTACTGGGGAAAGGGTCCAGACCTATTAAGAAATCTGATGGGAGTGATTATGAGATTCCGGGAATTCAAGATTGCTGTTGCCGGCGAAATCAGTACTGTAAAATGTTCTATCAGGTTAGGATTCCACCAAGAGACATGCACGTCCACAGATTCTTGTGGAGAAAATTTGAAGAGCGTTCACCTGACACATATGTTCTCCCCATTGTGACACCGGGGGATAAACCTGCACCAGCCATGGCATTGACCGCACTACTAAAGACAGCTATGGAAAATGAAACTGACCATCCACAAGCAGCAGGAACTTTACAGCGAGACACCTACATGGACGATATTTGCACTTCAGTAAAGAATGAAAAGGAAGCCATTGAACTGACTAAGGAGATAGACAACGTCCTATCCACAGCAGAATTTAAAGTTAAAAAATGGGTCTCCAATGCTAAACTACATGCTGACCAAGATCAGTCTGAGCAACCTGTGATGTCTGAGGACACTGAGCAGAAGGTATTAGGTGTCGTGTGGGAGCCAAAGACAGATGAGCTTAAGTACAAAGTACAGCAAGTGGAATTACACGGCAGATTTACCAAGAGAACTGTACTGAGTGAAATCTCAAAAATCTTCGACCCAATTGGATTTGCCGGTGCATTCCTGATACGAGCAAAGATAATGGTACAGCAACTTTGGGCAGCAGGAGTTGGTTGGGACGATGAATTAGATTCTGAAGAGACATCCAACTGGTTCAAGTTCTTTGCCGAGATGAAGAGTCTACATGGTATTTCATTTAAGAGATGCTTGATCCCTGAACCAGATGCTGAAAATTTACAGTTAATCATCTTCTGTGATGAGTGTGCCTTTGGCGCAGTGTACTACACTAGATGGGAGACATCTAATGGTACGTTTGGTGTAAGATTCTTGACCACAAAGTCCCGAGTTGCACCCCTGAAGGCATTAACAATTCCGAGGTTGGAGCTACAAGCAGCTGTGGTAGCCACCAGACTATACACATCTATAACCAAGGAAATGACTGTCAAGTTTAAAAAATCTATTTTCCTCTCAGACTCGATTATTGCTTTATCCTGGATAAGAGGTCAGTCGCGTTTCTACAAGCCGTTTGTTGCCAACAGAGTGTCTAAGATCCAAGGCAACACCGATCCATCAGACTGGAAGCACATACCAGGAGAGTTCAATATTGCAGACAAAGTCTCCAGAGGCGTGAGTGTGAGTGACTTAAAAGGTGAATGGAAAGAAGGACCTTCATTTCTGAGCTTGCCTGAAATTGAATGGCCATGTTCCATCCCTAGGGCGAGTAAAGAAGATGTAGATGCCGAAAAACGGAAGCCAAAACCTGTAATGCTCATACAGCAGCTAGAAGCAGCAATTAACATCAATAGATACTCAAGTTGGCGAAGACTTCTACGGGTGACAGCATATGTTTTCCGATTTATAGTGAACACCAGAGCAAAGTGCTGTGTGGATGATGGCCCACTATCTGCACACAAATTAATGGTAGCTGAAAGACACTGGGTGATGGATGCTCAAAAATCCCTAAAGGAGATTAAGGAATACAAGTCTCTAAGTCCATTTAGAATGAACGGTATAGTATATGTAGAAGTAACAAGAGACTCTCATGTGACCAGGCCTATCCTGTCCTTCTGCCGAGATGCCACCGAGCCTCATATCTGATTACCGGACAGATCCATGAAACTGGCCACTACGGCGTCGCTACAACTGCCACAAAAGTAAGGCGAAGATTTTGGATTGTAAAAGCAACCACCTTAGCTAAGACTGTGAAGTTCCAGTGTACTAAATGTTGAGCTTTTGAGCACAAAGCAGAAAATCAGTTGATGGCGGAACTGCCCATAGAACGAGTTACACCATATTCACCACCGTTCCACTATACCGCAATAGACTACTTTGGACCTTATCATGTTAAAGTAGGAAGGAACAAGTCGATAAAGCACTACGGGGTGACATTGACGACCCGTGCTGTACACCTAAAGCTTGCTGTTGATTGTTCAACACAGGAATTCATACAAGTACTGAGAAGATTCTACGCAATTAGAGGTCGACCCAAAGTCATACAAAGTGACAATGGCACGCAGTTTGTGGGGGCAGAACGAGAATTAAGACAGATGATAGCTGGTTGGAATAAAGATCAACTAAAGGAGTACTGTGCTAATGAACAGGTAACCTGGAGATTCACTACACCATTAGCCCCTCACCACAATGGCTGCGCCGAATCACTGGTAAAGAGCTGCAAACTGCACTTTAAAGAAATCTATAGGAGATCAACGTCTGACGCCGTTTGAATTGTACACATATTTCCAGGAAGTGGCAAACTTGATTAATGAAAGGCCGGTTGGTAGAAAGCTGAATGATCCTGATGACAGTTCATTTATTTGCCCGAAAGACATTCTGTTGGGGGATCCACAAGCCATGTACCTCACGGCCCCTTCAGGGAAACCAAAAACCCACGGAGACATGTTAAAGTTCGCCCAGAAGCTAGTCGATGCGTTCTGGAAAGTTTGGATTAGGGATGTGTTTCCTTCTCTTGTACCACGCAAGAAATGGAGTATTGAAAGAAGAGATGTACGAATTGGTGATGTAGTGATGTTAGCAGACCCCAATTCAGCTCGAGGAAAATGGACCATTGCAAGGATCACCGATGTATATCCAGGAAAGGACGGCCAGGTGCGCAGTGTATCTGTAAAAACCCCCAATGGGAATTACGTTCGTCCCATAACTAAGTTAGCTGTTATATATCCAGTTGAGGGATACGAATAGATCCAAGTTTATGTGAATTCCTCACATGGTGGGGGAAGGTGTTTCGTCTAGAAACTATTGTTTGAGAGCGCATTTTATTTTTTATATTTCTACTTGAGGGCGCTAGATTTGCGTGGGTAAGTCAGATCTTGCCGCTGAATTCAATGCAACACATCATAATATTTCTCTAGTATTCACTGGGTTTTACCGTTTAAAACCATACCTGATGTTAATGAATATCGATAAGATGTTATGCAAATATTTAAGAATTGTTGTTTGATTGCAATGCAACATAACTTTTTCAGCAAGTAGATGACCATAAACAAGCAAACATTGAAGAGATAGAGTCATTGAAAGCAAGCATGGAGAAACCGGAGAACCAATCAAGAAGAAATAACTTGATATTTAAAGGCATACCACAGAAAGAAAACGAGAAATGGGAAGAAACGGAAAAAATGGTGTTGGAATGCATTAGAAATGATTTGAAAATACAGGATAAGATTCAAATAGAGCGAGCACATAGGCTAAATACCAAGGCAAAAGGAAGAAGAATAATTGCACGATTTGCTAAATACAGGGATAAGCAACGCATATTGAAGAATGCATTTAAATTGAAAGGATCACGGATAAGTATCTCGGAAGATTTTGCTCCAAAAACGAGAATAATTAGAAGCAAGCTGTTGGCCAAAAGAAGAGAAATTATTAACGAAAATGAAAACTGCTCAGCTAAGCTGAGATATGACAGGTTTGTGGTAACATACAGTTATGGTGTTGTTGAAACATTCATATTTAATGAAAAGAAAAACAAAGTTGTTAAACAACAAGACAAAGCTAAGGATGGAAGTAGATATAATGGGTCAAGCGAAGTGGCTGAGGAGTAGGAAGGAGGTCAAGGTCCGTCAGTGCGTGACATTAAATGTATAGCATGGAACATACATGGAATTAGAGATAAACGGGGTGCAGAAGACTTCATGAGTTATCTCAAAGAATTTGATATCATTGGACTGTCAGAAACTTGGTCTAAATCTGATTTTTTTATGGAAAGATATGTTTCGTTTAACGTACAGAGCAAAAAAGCTTCGACTAAAGGAAGGGAGTCGGGTGGTATATTGTTATTTATAAAATGTGAATTATCAAATATGTCAAAAGATTAGAATTTGATGATGATTTTATTTGGATTATAGTGGTTCCCCCAGGCAATTCAGACCCATTCATATTATGTAATTTATATATAAGACCAATTACATCTAGCTATAATGAGGATATGGATGTATTTGATAATATAACAGTAACTATGTCAGAAATACGTGTTAAATACAATATTACTAACTATATATTCTTTGGCGACTTTAAGGCCCGGACAGGGGTGCTTGATGATACCATTTTATTTGACGATGTTAATTACCTCCCAATTGATGATAATGATTATGGAATTGGCATATCAATATGTAATAGATCAAACTGTGATAGAGAAATTAATGACTATGGGAAAAAGCTGATTGAGCTATGTAAAAATACATCAATGTGCATAGTTAATGGAAGGAAAGAGGGTGACAAAAAGGTCGAATTTACGTTTATTAATTATAATGGCAAAAGTGTTAATGACTATTTGATTACATCTACTTCTTTCTTCAATAAAATAAGTAGTTTTAAAATAGGTAACCGAATAGAATCAGATCACTTTCCCTTAATTTTTGATATCAATTTTAGTAAAATAGACCAGACACATGTTAAAAAAGGGGGAAACTCCAAACAGCAAACACCAAGTTATTACTTTGATTACGAAGGTTATATATCAAATGAAAATGAAATCAAGATAAATATTATATTAAATGATATTGAAGTATTACTGCAAAATAATGAAGATATTAACATAATTGAGTCTAAATTCATTAGCTTATTTATTGATTTTGCAAAAATAAGAAAAAATAAAAAATCATATGAGTCATCCAGTGATTGGTTTGACAAAGAATGTAGAAATAAAAGCTTTAAACATTTTCAGAAATGATAGATCCAACGAAAACTTAGCTACATATAAAGGAAATAAAAAGGAATACAAAAGGTTGATTCAGATTAAAAAGACTAAATACTCTAAATCTTTAACTGAAAAAGTCATAAATACTTATCCGTGATCCTTTAAATTTTTGGAATTTATTTAGAAAAAGAAAAATCCAAATTAACGACATACCTGATAGTGATTGGATAGATTATTTTTCAAATTTATTTGATACTGACCAACAAATAATAAATGAGATTGATAATAGGCCTAATGGTATGTATAGCAATATAGAGTCAGAACCCTTGGATAGTGATTTAATGAATGCACAAATTACGGTTGATGAAGTCAATGAAAGTATATTGGCTTTGAGAGAAAATGCGTCACCAGGTATAGATGGAATTCCGTCTGCCTTTTTCAAACGGTGTGGTAACCTTTTTATTTTGACGTTAACTGCAATATTCAATATAGTTTTAAATACGTGAAATATACCTTCAACTTGGTCAAGTTCTATTATAATTCCATTTTTCAAATCGGGGGATAGAAACTTGCCACAAAACTACCGTAGTATATCTCTAATCACAGCAACTTGCAAAATATTTATGAGAGTAATTTATAATCGCCTTTTGAAATGGGAATCAACAAATAATATACTTAGGGAAGAACAGGCAGGGTTTAGAAAAGGGTACTCTACTTCTGATAACATTTTTATTCTTCATACTTTAATTAGAAAATACCTTTATAAAAGTAAGGGAAGATTTTATTGTGCATTCATAGATTTCGAAAAGGCTTTCGATAAAGTAAATAGACAAATATTATTTAATAAACTTAAACAGAGTGGGATGAACGGGAAAATATTCAATATTTCTGTCTCTTATACACATCTAGGTTTAACTAACAATTGTAACATG